AGAGAGAGAGAGAGAGAGGAAGAAGGAGGGGAAGGTCGTGCCGCGATTTATCAAATAAAAGCGGTAGTACAGTCAAATACCCGTCCATGTCGTCAGTGGAAGCGACAGTTCATTTTTAATATAAAGCACGGGTGGAGGTAGGATCTTCCGGGATGTAGCGACAAAAAGAATATGGCGACTGCCCTGGGCACATTCACCTATCTCTAGATCTACGAATTCGCGGTAGGCAGGATCTAATGATTCGTGAAAATTACAATTGTAGACAATTTATCGTGATCCTGGTATATTTTCTTTTTTACAATGCTGTTTACGAAGAGTTAGAGTTAGGTGTTGGATTGTTATGTTAAAATATAATTTTAACTACATCAGAAAATAAAACTGATATATTGTGACACACTGTTGAACTTTATTGTTAGAACAGTGTTTGATTATGTCACTACTTTGTTTGATATCCTGAAACAAGGATCAGGGTAACCTGTGTTTGTCTTTATGCCCGTTTATGTGCTTAGCCCTCTGGCATATGTTATCATCCTTTCTGAAAATTTTTACACCTACTTTCCTTTTACGAGTATCTAGACTAACAGATATAGGAACCCTCAACGTCTTTTATTCCCATCAGCCGTCGCCAGAAAGGGGAAGATATGCGAAGTGCGGTGATGTCTATCCGACAATATCGTCGCCATTTCAGAGCTTTGCTTTCGAGCATTTACATAAAATTATTATCAAATCGAAAAAACTGCGGCTGTTCGACTTTCTTTACGGAACATCATATTCGACTAGAATACGTTACTCAGAATGTGATATATAAAACATAAGGATGTATATGTAAGATAAGATCGACATAAATATAAAATAAAATTATAATTGCGTAATATTATACCAGAGAAAACAGCATGATTTGATGTTGTGAAGCAAAAAGAAATCATTATACTTGTCTGAACCTGTTTGATTTAGCGCGGTAAATTATACATAATATAAATCCTGATATATATATGACTTTATATATGACTTTATATATGATATATATATGACATATATGACTTTATTATTATGTATGATTTTGTATTTGAATATCGTAACAATAGGGCAAAGATTCCTTTCCGCTTCTAAAAATCAGATTGCACGATCTTCTCTGCCACAATCTTGCAATGTAGGAGCGAGAGAAAGAGAGAGAGAGAGAGAGAGAGAGAGAGAGAGAGAGAGAGAGAGAGAGAGAGAGAACAGCAGGAAGGAGGAGAAGACAGAGTATAGCGGTACGAACCCCACGCTTTTATAGCGGTCCATTTGGCGCAACAACGAGCGTGGAAACTTCTTTTAGTGTCGGGCTACAGATTCCGGGCCGAAATACGCGTACGATTATGGGGTTCCGGATTATCAATTTGTTATACTATGTTTATTATTTGAGCTCGGTGAACAGGTGAGCTCCCCATATCGCTCGCTGCGGAAACCCCCTGCAGCTGCAGAGCGTCGTAATCGGTCGATTTTGGGGATAATCTGGAATATGTTATGCGGTGTTATCTCCCTCCAGATGTTTGCATCAGGATCAACGAGCTGCGAAAAATTGTACACGTGTAAGAAACCACGTTTCTTACTTTTCATTATTCGCATTGCCGGCTTAGAGCAAGCCGGCGTCCAATATTTACCGTTATTTCGTGCTATGAATGTTAACACCTAATAGTAATAGTAGTAGCAATAGTAGTAGTAGTAGTAATAATAGTAATAGTAATAGTAGTAATTCACGACTATGATATGAAAGTATCCAAAATAACGCGTATCATTTGTGCATCATGCATGCCCCAAAAAAATTTAATGATACTTGATCGATTGTACATTACTAACATAATAACTGTGATATAAATAGTAACCTCTTTCTTTTTCATTTTTTGTTAAACGTAAACGTAAAAACATTACTGGACCTCGTGTTTACTATTTTCAAATAGGTTAATGAGATAAATACCTATCGATCATTTACATAAACAGAATATCGAAAACTCTTTATCGTGCATTGAATTCGTTCCCTTTGGATATCGCCGTCTTAAGACCCCTTTTCTTCTCAGTAACCGCGACAGAGGACTACTGCTGAGAGTGCTGAGTATCATAGTAGCTGGGATTTTCTAGGAGAGTTATCTCTAATTCAGTGAGGATTTACTCGCCAATGAATCTTTAAATTAGATGCTCTGTTCTTTTCGTACTGCGCTCCTCCCCGGAGGGTAAAGTCCCGCTCGCTCAATCACCTATATCATGGAATCGCCGAATATAGTCAATTCCTTCCACCCTTCTTTCGTTATCGAGTCTTTACGCCCTCAATTCCACCGCGCTCACCAATATTTGTGTCTCGCCGTAGGCTCTCGTAGGAATTCCGACGTTTTTAACCGTGCGCCATTACTTCCGCCCCGATCGTATGGATTACCTTTAAAGCCACGTGATAATTTTGTCTAGTGGATTCGCAAGCATCAAGCTGAACTATTAGTGGTATCAAGTATCAGCGCTATATTAATTAATGGCGGAAATGTAGCCCGACGTAGTTTAGTAAGAAGCAGTTCGCCCACTAAAATGGCCGTCCCGCAGGAGGGTGTAAGACGGAGGATAGAAGATAGTGGCGAGGATGATGATAATCCAGCTTCTAGCCTAGTCCTATCCCGGGGGATGCAGGGATTAATTGACACATCGGCGTCTTGGAGGAGTCTGCTGGGCTGACGCTTCTGCTTTGGCACCCACCGACGTGACTGATGAGACGCCTGGAACAAGGCGTCGGGAAAAACACTCATGGATTCGTGGCTTTTTTGTAGAAAAGGTATCCAGCAAGAATTACCGACGAAGCATGGAACGTCGGTCGCGCTTCTCCTCCTGGCAAATAACTCAACTAATCAGACCACGTCCTCCTTTATCGTTCCATCCATGGCGTCCCCGGACTAAAACATCTCCGCTGAAGGGCACGTAGATGTAACAGATTGAAATTTAATACGAGCAGTATGGTGACATGTACGGAAGGACGAGAGACGGTTACTTAAGGTTTCGTCGGCGCGGGACCATTTTCATGGCGAAGGAGAAGACATCGTTTTGGGCAGGAAATCGTTAGTGGGTTCCAACAGTTAAAATCGTAATAACAGAATAATGAGTTTAATTCCATTCCCGTTGGTTATAATTCATGGAAACTTATGAACGCGGACTTGAAAAGGAGGAGAGGGAGTACTAACAAAATCATATCGCTTTGGTATTACTATTGGTAATATCCGGATTTTGTATTTCCATCAGCATTATTGAAGCGATACGAATATTTGAATAACACAATCTAACGTATCACATGAAACGCAATTTCTTTTAATTACACCTCTGGATAATAAAATTTCTTGTTTTTCCAGTTTTTGAGCGCGATTTTCTTTCGCACTCGTCGCCAAGAATATAATTATAAAGAGGTCCGGTAGGCTCGCAAATCACAAAGAGATGAGCGGGCAGCGCAACGATAAGGGATAACACGGTGGTTGAAAGCAAAGAGCCGACGTGTACGAGGCGTCGGTGGCGGCACCCCATGTGAGTTATGACCGTCCCGACGCTCTCTCCCGTTAGTCCAGGGCTCAATTTACAGATGATTCCGCGTGTTACCGCCTGGCCAGCGGCTGGTTAACCTCCGTGCCAAACACTTAATCTTCCGACGTGTCCTGTGAATAGTCCGACCGCGTTTTGGAGGCGGCACGACGTTAAATCGCCGTCGCAGCCGCGAGATCGGTGTGAGAAAGAGAGAAACAGGGATAGATAAATGGACCGAGACGTAGGGTACAGATTGTAGTCAAATGGAGGCCCTAGTGGCCCATAAAGTTAGCCAACCCTCCAAATTGTATTGCCACCCACTATCGTATACATGCGAGCTTCGGTGACATGTGGAACGTGCCGTAAACGGCTTCACAAATTTATTGGTCCTCGATAGCCTCTCGCCGCAGCCAACAAGTTGTTGGAAAACGAGTGTCCGCAGAGATATCTCCGACTTAACGCATCAAAGCTCATTCACGAGACGGGGCTTTTCCGGAACGTACTCTCTAGTTTTCTGTAGCCCGTATTATGCAAAACATATTGCATTTATCTGCCCGCAATAAACGCGATAATAAACGGAATGGGTGAAATATATTTCTTGGTTTATATCAATCCTGCACGAAATCTGGCATGAACACATTTCTGTGAATACTGCACGTCGAGAGAGACAATAAAATACAGTTGTCTAGCTACCTAGTTGCCTTCTTGTTGTTTACAGAAACCTTATATCTGGATATATCTGGACGTATTGTTCCATGCATGCAACAATGTATTATTTTATGTTGCCCAATGTTTACAAATGTGTGTAAAGTTTGCGCATGTTATGTACTCCAGATGTGCGGCATGTCGGCACTAGGAAAGGAGCGGCTTGGAACTGTCATTAGCCGTCGGATGGTAGGCACCCCGTGGTGAACCACAATGTAGCGGCGAGAAGCCAATAGAGTCCTAATGCTATAAACGCCGCGCCGAATCCTACCAGCCACCGTTAATTGACTTGCACGTTTGTCACTTTACAACCCAGACAAATTTCTGATTATGTTTGCTCAAGATAGACTCTAGTAAAAGTGTGAGTTTGTTTGTCGATTTTTGTCATAATTGTCGCATTATTAAAAATTGTATTATTAATTTCTACGCAGTTATCGATTAAACTTTAGTTTAATTAATAATTAATAAGTTTAACACGGTTGACGGTTATTTAATCTTCCATTTATCGTTGCACAAATGAACGAAAGGATACGAAGAGAGGTAAACATTACATGTTTAAATTTAAGAATAATTATTAATAAAAATAATCGATATCGCAGACACATCGGCAGATGTGTTGACTCATAAGGCCGATAATTTACAGTTCTTCGATGTAATCGTATTCAAGAAATAGTATATCATAATTTTCACAAGTTATTTCTTATTAGCCGTTTCCAGAAATTACGCGGACGATTCGTGAGATTAGACGTCTATCTTTGACAACTTACCTTGTTGGTTACTTTTCCTAGTGGTCTTCTTTTCCTTCATCCAAGGATACTCAGGAACATTGACACCTGAGGGGTCAGCGACACCGTGGGGATCCATCATGGTATGATATGCGGGATGATGAGTACCAGGACTGATAGACCCGCCGGTACCAGGTGAGTGTTGCATGCTGCTGTCTCCAGCTAATTGTGGCAACGCTGTCATAAATTCAGCCATGGAAGGTTGACTATTGATAAAGCCGGTTTCGGCGGATCCACATGTTGGGTCCATGGCTGGGTGATGAGTCCCGTGCGGGGGCAGCCCGGCTGGGGTACCTGCCCCCGCGGCCACCGTGGCCAGCCAGAAGCCGCCCCCTCCGTCGTTCGCCAGGACGGGTGTCGTCGGCCTCGTCGTCTTCACGGTCGATAGATCTTTGCTTGCGTGAACCAAATTCTGAAGATGATTGCCCAGTTGCAGATTACTCGAACTGGACAGCTGCGACTGCTGCGAGTCTTCTTCGGTAAGTTGCTTGTTGCTTATCAATGCTTGTTGCTTACCGCGCATGGAACAATACGCACTAATTTGCACTTGAAACTGACTTTTGTCTTTAGTGATAAACGTAACAATGGAGCAATTATTTATTGAAGAGAAACGGCTATAGAAGACAGGCGAATCTCTTTTTAATGTCTAACAATTCGTCACAATACATAGGCTTTGAAGGACACATTATTCACATAAATTCACTAAATAGTTCACCAATAAGTTTGCGTGCTTTTCACCTTTTAAGTGATGTGCGATGTACTTGAACGTTGTACTGTTATCAATCTTAGAATCTTCTAAAAACTTGTCAAGTTAATATTTACCATCAATGGCAAAAGAGAATATAAATCCGTTTATACAGCCTAATGCTTATTTCTCTTCCTTTTATATATTGTCGTAAATGTAAATGTGTTAGAAATCACTACTCATCTTCTATTTCTGCGACATGAAATATGTTCTTTTATATATGTGATTTCGTTCCTTATCAATTCCTTTGGTTGAAACGCCTGTTACTTAATTGTATTATAGTCCACTAGTGGTTTTACAACAAACAAACGTGGTCAAACAAACATATTGATCTCCAATTTGAAGATTAAACCCAATCGCTTACCGCGCATTCACTGCTCACTATGGTACATTACCGTAAGTTACATATTCATATCCCCAATCTCCCATTTACAATTAATCACAATAACTTGTCTTACAACATTAAACCCGATGCCGATAGGAAGCAGATTCTCAGATCACACTATGGACATGACACTGTTTGCTCGCGGCCGATGCAGTTTCGCGTACAACCAATCCAGATCCAACTTACAGATCTACCAATTTTCAATGTGAGAACCAACCAAGCACAGATCACTGGTATCACACGTAGTCGCGGCGATTTGATCGATAGTCCAACCGATCGACGGAGAACGCCGTACCGAATCGCGCGTATCGCGGCTGCCGTCACCGTACCGATCGGCCAAAACCCAAGCAAGCGAGCTAGGGTAGGCCAAGCAGTCACCGATTGCGGTATACTTGCTAAGTGACAGAGGAGAGGGAGGAGATGGAGATAGTGGCTGAGGGAAGGTGGGGGTCCGACGGATCCGTAGTGGAGGTACTCGTTGGTTGAGAAGGTGCTGTAGGAAAGGCGGGGGACGTTCTATAGAAAGAGACGGCCGTCTCCAGTCACCAGAACCGAAATTTCCACGATCTTTTTCGCTTCTCCGGCGTTCCCGGTGTCTCTGTTGTTACTGCTGTCTCTTTCCTCGTACCATAGGAGGGGGTGGCGGGGAGACAACTTCGGCGCCGAGGTGGAAGTCGCCCCTTAATGTGGCGGTGGTCCAGTCACGTGACTTCGCTCGTCGGAATGGAGCGACCAATCATGAAGCGGTAACACGAGCTATGAGGTACAGCCCTCCGCCGACGTAGGCGGGCTGGCCTGTCGTGGCGACGGTGGCCTTGGAGGGCTCGGAGGGCACACAACCAGGAGGGTACGACAACCAGGTCCGTGCCGTGAGAGTGCAGGCGGGCGACTCTCGCGCGGACGAGCACGAGACCCGTTTGGGCGGCCACGGTTACCCGGCGCAACTGTGGGCGGTACGCGCGAGCGCGTCGTTCAATATTGCGCCAAGTGGTGGGGAACTTTCTCACGTGCTCGGCCACGCGGTTCTACACCTTCGCTGGATGAACGTCCGAATCAAGGTACGGTAGTATCTTGCCTCTATTAAACCTTGAATGATACCGCGAGTTCATTGTTAAGTCAATGGAGCAGCAATTGGGAAAGTCGGGAATGTCCCACCAAATCGCGTCGCTGTTTGCCTTGGACACTGTTGGATTTGCTTTGGATCTGGTCCAACGATGTTTTTCTCGCGTTAGATCCTATCGCGTTGCAATAATAGGACGGTATTTGGACTAGGCCCAATTTCTTACAACAATTTAGAGTTGTGGTCTATAATAATACATGTGATTACTCTTTAAGAGATTTTATTTTTGTTACGTGTACAGAGTACCTATGTGCATATATTTGAAATGATTTTGTGCTATAAATCTAAATGGGAAAAACATAAGATACTCTACAACTAGAAACATAAGGAATTTACAGATCAGGTTTAGAAATAATCGTACTTAAAACGAGACTACACCGCTCATAAAATGTTCCTTGGAGTAAAGTAACTTTAAACTGATACGTACTTTTTAAACAGCTGTTAGTTTCGGAGATAATTTTACGAAGTACTGCAACTTGTGAAAGATCCTTCATCCGTTGAAAGGGATTTTGTGAACTGAATCGGTTTACATGCATCGGCTGCGATCGTGTTGTCGTAACGGTCGGGACTGCTGGGGGCGCCGGATGGTATTACGACGGCTCGCAGTGGGGCAGTTTTGATGACAGATTACTCTGATCCGCTTTGTGGAGTCGCTCTCATTTAGACAGGCGGTTTGATTGAAAAGTTCGCTGCCGTTTCCGACGAAAAAAAAATTCGTGTCACTACCCGTGAGCAATCGGACAACCCGCGGGAACAAGTCGTTTATGTGCTCCACAATTGATTCTTCCTACCGTGAGAATGTCAGACACCACTATGTCTCTCATGCACGTAGTAACATAAAATTAAATAAATCCTATATATAAATTATATGTGCATTTATGTACATGTTTATATATTACATTGGAACCTAACGAATAATATAAGATCTAATGATAAAAGTGAGGTTATGTATACCAAAATTTACACTAGTGCTGTCAGTATACATTGGATTGTTTTTATATCTATTGTTTCTATTTACCTGAGTATTTATTCGGTATTTACTATTTAGATACTCGAATATAATTAAAAATAATTAAGTATTTTTGTAATATTAATGTGTAATACCGATCGATTAGTCAGATATCGGACACTGACTCTTATATTGATACTACTAATTTATATATTGATCAACAAATTTTAATAGTGATACTCCAGATTACAAATAAATATATGAACAATAATTATGAGACGAAAGATCAACATAATGAAAGATAGAACATTCAGTGACAGACAAAATATTCTGTGAGAGAATACAGAAAAGATGAAACTTTTCTGGGAGGGAGAGGGTTCGAAGCGGATCGTCATATTTGAAAAGTAAATCACTATCTTCTCATTAATATATTCAATTGTGTTAGAGTGGGCTAGAGTGAAATTTCGGTGAGGTGGCAAGGGTGCCAACTATTTCGAAGCGCAAAACGGGCACGGATGGTCACGAGAGGAGGGGGAGAAAGGAGAGCGAAGAGGGCGAGAAAGCGGGAGGGTGACGGAGAGAGATGAGAGAACGGAGAACACCCGCCACATCTGCCGCCAGATTTAACTATACATTACAGACACACGATATGTCAAAGTCCTATACTTCATATCGACTCCGCCATTTATTAAAAGTTTCATCGCGCGCGCCTCGCTCGCGCCACCGATGTTCGGCAGCCCGACCCCTTCTTTCAGGCATACCCCGAAAACATATAGGAAGAAAAGCTCGAAGTATACGAACGAAAAGTTCGAGAAAAGAGCGCGGCGCGGAAAGGGGTACGCTCCTCAGATTGACATAGTTGCAGCGCCCTGCGCGACGATAAAAGCGACTGCGCTATCTTTCTTCGGCGATCCTTTATTTTACTCTCCTCGGTCGTGTAAGACGGAGTTTCCCTCATAACGGATTTCTAAGGTCTCTTGGAAATTGCGCGACGATAATTTTCAACGTTTGGATCCGCATTTCGCTTCATATTAATCTCCAGATTGTTCGCCGTCTTACATCCCGTGACGCTGAAAAAGTTGTCACGAAAATTTTTTATTTCGCAGCACGTGACGCGCGCTGCAATTTTGTCGAGAGTAGGAAGTAATATTTAGAGCAATGCGCAGCGTGAAAAGCTTAATGCTGGAAAAATAAGATCCTTTCAAGCTTCCCTTTTTTGTGGCGACCGCGGAATTTCTGTGTGTCGGATCTCTTCGTTTCCTCTGGCTGCTGCCGATTGCGAAATGAAGTTTTATATTAAGCTTGGAGTTTTCTCCCTTTCTCCTGCGTGCCAGAAGCGAGCGAGCGAGCGCGCGCGTCTCTCATCGCCCTCCTCTTTTCTTTTCTTTCTTACCACCGCTTTTTCTCCCACGCTTGTCTTCGCCCTTTGTATATTTACGTACCGATAGATCGTTATGTCGGCGTTTGCATATATATTGACATTGCTGCTTTTCCCATAACGACGCGTGATAAGTGTGCGTTGGCAGGTGATACGAAAAATGCATCATAACGTGTCATTGTTATTTAATGATTTAATATAACAATTTATAATCTAAAGATTTAATAATAGCAACGCGCCTTACTGTGTGTGTAGATGTTTATATGCATGCTAAATAATATTATAATATTATATTTCGTGTGATGTATTATATTTGACTATGTGTGTGTGTGTGTGTGTGTGTGTGTGTGTATTAAAGTCAGATATACTGTGTATATAAACAAAAATTTAACTAACAATATTTTCACGAGAGGCCAGACAGCTATTTCGTATTGGCTAGGTTATGGTTCTTCATTCAGCGAATCGTTATAATTAGTTAAAAGAAATGTGTACTGAGAGTAGCATATCCACCATTAAAGCAAACCATCTTTCATCGCCATTTTAGCCATGGTAACCGGCACGAGTCCGCGAGTAGGGCTCGACCTGTCAATCACCGGATCACTGAAACGGGTCTTTGCCGTCCTTGCTTCATTGGAAAGAAGAGCTCGCTTTTCGTGCCTAAAATGCTCCGAGCCCCCGCCGACTCTTTTCCAACTTTTTCTTCCTCGACGTCTGGGGTAAAAGCGAACTCGTTAGACGCCTCAAGTGAAATTTTCTCTCGTTCCACTGATAGCTAATATGCTGCCGGAAGTGTTATATTATAGAATTCTACTTTCACTGGCCAGTTTTTAAACTTGGCCCTTTACGTTATTTTAAGTGTCGCTTGAAAGTTACCATTCAGTATCGTGTACGTACATAGCACGACCGAAAGTCGGATTTTTATTAAAATTGACTGCATATGTACAGC